CATATTTTTAACGATATGTCAATCAATCCTTCTGTTCAACGAGATGTAAAACAATCCTTCTGTTTAACGAGTTACCAAACAATTCTTTTTAACGAGATGTCAAAACAAATATTCTCTCTAAGGAGAGGATAAACAACTTTTGTGTTTAACGAGATGTCAAATAAGTCTTCTGTTCAACAAGATACTAAACAATTCGTTTGCTTAATGACATGTCAAATAATCATTTTATTTAACAAGATGTCAAAACGAGTCTCCTTTTTAACGAGATGTCAAGGAAATTTTTTTTTAACAAGATGCCAGACGAAAATGTGGAGTTTCATCGCGATAACAAATAGGAAAACTAACTCCTTCAGGAGATATCCTTCGATATTCACCTGACACGCATTTTCTTCTAAGTGATATCCATTGAATATACGATTTTCTGAGCAAGATATTCACTGGATATGCGATTTCTTCGAAGTGATATCCTTCGAATATATGAGTTTCTTAAGATATTCACCGGACATGCGATTTCTTCTAAGTGATACCCTTCGAATATACGATTTTCTGAACATGCGATTTCTTCCAAGTGATATTCATCGAATATAAGATTTTCTGAGTAAGATAGACATAGGATATCTGATTTCCTAGAGATATCCATCGAATATACGAGTTTCTTAAGATATCAAGTGGGTAAGGGAGTTCCTCAGCGAGATATCTATCGGATGTTCGACATCCACAACGATTTTCCCAGTCAGGAAAGGGAAACATAGACGAGGCAACAACACCAACAGTTTGGTTGATCACAGTAGCAGAGTGACACGGAGAGAAGCGTTTACCCAGAGGCTGCCAATATAGGATTTTGTCAACAAAAGTCGTGTGCTGGAGACTGATGTTGCAGGGAGGGCAGCATTGACTGACCATGCAACATTAACCGAATATGCAACGTTTGAACGTGCAACACTGAACGCAGGAGGTTAAATGAGTAGCAGTTCGACTACAGCGTTGAAATCATATGTTGGATGAGAATATTGAAAGTACAAGACTGAACGAGCAGCAAGAAACGTTTGACAAAAAACCCGAGAGAGCGTACGAATGACATTGAATAGCAGCAACGAACGTTTGACACTGAAACGCACAGCATTCCCATGAATAACGCGAATGGCCGTACTGAAATGAACGGCACTGATTCGGGTAACACTGAACGTAAATCACTGGACGAACAACACTGAAAGACAGACTGAACAGTACTGAACACAACGCACTGATTTAAAACTAAACATTCAACGCAGCGCTGAACTTTTCAAAGGAACCCAGAATGAACGTTCAAACGAACCCAGCATGAACGTTCAAACGAACCAGCACCTGAACGTTCAAACAAAAACCAGCACTGAACGTTCCAAACGAACCCAGCACTGAACGTTCAAACGAACCCAGCACTGAACGTTCAAACGAACCCAGCACTGAACGATCAAACGAACCCAGCACTGAACGTTCAAACGAACCCAGCACTGAACGTCCAAACGAGCCCAGCACTGAACGTTCAAACGAACCCAGCACTGAACGTTCAAACGAACCCAGCACTGAACGTTCAAACGAACCCAGCACTGAACGTTCAAACGAACCCAGCACTGAACGTTCAAACGAACCCAGCACTGAACGTTCAAACGAGCCCAGCACTGAACGTTCAAACGAACCCAGCACTGAACGTTCAAACGAACCCAGCACTGAACGTTCAAACGAACCCAGCACTGAACGTTCAAACGAGCCCACCACTGAACGTTCAAACGAACAAAACAATGAACGCTCAAACGAACCCAGCACTGAACGTTCAAACGAGCCCAGCACTGAACGTTCAAACAAACCCAACACTGAACATTCAAACGAACCCAGCACTGAACGTTCAAACGAGCCCAGCACTGAACATTCAAACGAGCCAAGCACTGAACGTTCAAACAAACCCAGCACTGAACGTTCAAACGAACCCACACTGAACGTTCAAACGAGCCCAGCACTGAACATTCAAACGAGCCCAAGCACTGAACATTCAAACGAGCCCAGCACTGAACATTCAAACGAACCCAGCACTGAACGTTCAAACGAGCCCAGCACTGAACATTCAAACGAGCCAAGCACTGAACGTTCAAACGAGCCCAGCACTGAACATTCAAACGAACCCAGCACTGAACATTCAAACGAGCCAAGCACTGAACATTCAAACGAGCCAAGCACTGAACATTCAAACGAGCCCAGCACTGAACATTCAAACGAGCCCAGCACTGAACATTCAAACGAACCCAGCACTGAACGTTCAAACGAGCCCAGCACTGAACGTTCAAACGAGCCAAGCACTGAACATTCAAACAAAGCCAAGCACTGAACATTCAAACGAGCCCAGCACTGAACATTCAAACAAAGCCCAGCACTGAACGTTCAAACGAGCCCAGACAACTTAAAACATTCAAACGAACCCAGCACTGAACGTTCAAACGAACCCAGCACTGAACGTTCAAACGAACCCAGCACTGAACGTCCAAACGAGCCCAGCACTGAACATTCAAACGAACCCAGCACTGAACATTCAAACGAGCCAAGCACTGAACATTCAAACGAGCCCAGCACTGAACATTCAAACGAGCCCAGCACTGAACGTTCAAACGAGCACAGCACTGAACTTCAAACGAACCCAGAAACCTGAAACGTTCAAACGAACCAAGCATTGAACGCTCAAACGAGCCCAGCACTGAACATTCAAACGAACCCAGCACTAAACGTTCAAACGAGCCCAGCACGGAACGTTCAAACGAACCCAACACTGATCGTTGAAACGAACCCAGCACTGAACGATCAAACGAACCCACCACTGAACGTTCAAACAACCCAGCACTGAACGTTCAAACAAGCCCACCACTGAACATTCAAACGAGCCCACCACTGAACGTTCAAACAAGCCCAACACTGAAAATTCAAACGAGCCCAGCACTGAACGTTCAAACGAGCCCGCACTAAACTTAAAAACGAGCCCAGCACTGAACATTCAAACGAACCCAGCACTGAACTTCAAACGAAGCCCAGCACTGAACGTTCAAACGAACCCACCCATTTGAACAATCAAACGAACCCACCATGAACGTTCAAAAAACCCACACTGAACGTTCAAACGAGCCCAGCACTGAACTTCAAACGAGTCCAGCACTGAACGTTAAACAAAAGTCCAGCACTGAACGTTCAACAAACCCAGCACTGAACGTTCAAATGAGCCAGCCACGAACGTTCAAAGAAGCCCACCACTGAACGTTCAAACGAGCCCAGCACTGAACGTTCAAACAAGTCCACCACTGAACGTTCAAAGAAGCCCAGCACTGAACGTTCAAACGAGCCCAGCACTGAACGTTCAAACAAGCCCACCACTGAACATTCAAACGAGCCCAGCACTGAACATTCAAACAAGCCCAAGCACTGAAAATTCAAACAGTCCACCACTGAACGTTCAAAGAAGCCCAGCACTGAACGTTCAAGCGAGCCCAGCACTGAAAATTCAAACGAGCCCAGCACTGAACATTCAAACGAACCCAGCACTGAACGTTCAAACAAGCCCAGCACTGAACGTTCAAACAAGCCACCACTGAACGTTCAAACAAGCCCACCACTGAACGTTCAAAAGCCCAAACCACTAAATCGTTCAAACGAGCCCAGCACTGAACATTCAAACAACCCACCACTGAACGTTCAAATAAGCCCACCCACTGAACGTTCAAACAAGCCCACCACTGAACGTTCAAACGAAGCCCAGCACTGAACGTTCAAACAACCCACCACTGAACGTTCAAACAAGCCCACCACTGAACGTTCAAACAAGCCCACCACTGATCGTTCAAACGAGCCCAGCACTGAACGTTCAAACAAGTCCACCACTGAACGTTCAAATAAGCCCACCACTGAACGTTCAAGCGAGCCCAGCACTGAACGTTCAAACAAGTCCACCACTGAACGTTCAAATAAGCCCACCACTGAACGTTCAAACAAGCCCACCACTGACGTTCAAACGAGCCAACCACTGAACGTTCAAACAAGCCCACCACTGAACTTTTCAAATAAGCACCACTGAACGTTCAAACGAGCCCACCACTGAACGTTCAAGCGAACCAACCACTGAACGTTCAAACAAGCCCACCACTGATCGTTCAAACGAGCCCAGCACTGAACGTTCAAATAAGCCCACCACTGAACGTTCAAACAAGCCCAGCACTGAACGTTCAAACAAGCCCACCACTGAACATTCAAACAAGCCCACCACTGAACGTTCAAACAAGCCCACCACTGAACGTTCAAACAAGCCCAGCACTGAACGTTCAAACAAGCCCACCACTGAACGTTCAAACAAGCCCAGCACTGAATGTTCAAACAAGCCCACCACTGAACGTTCAAACGAGCCCAGCACTGAACAATCAAACGAGCCCAGCACTGAACGTTCAAGCGAACCCAGCACTGAACGTTCAAACGAATCCAGCACTGAACGTTCAAACGAGCCCAGCACTGAACATTCAAACAAGCCCAGCACTGAATGTTCAAACGAGCTCAGCACTGAACATTCAAACAAGCCCAGCACTGAATGTTCAAACAAGCTCAGCACTGAACAATCAAACGAGCCCAGCACTGAACGTTCAAACGAACCCAGCACTGAACGTTCAAACGAACCCAGCACTGAACGTTCAAACGAACCCAGCACTGAACGTTCAAACGAGACCCAGCACTGAACGTTCAAACGAACCCAGCACTGAACGTTCAAACGAACCCAGCACTGAACGTTCAAACGAACCCAGCACTGAACGTTCAAACGAACCCAGCACTGAACGTTCAAACGAACCCAGCACTGAACGTTCAAACGAACCCAGCACTGAACGTTCAAGCAAGCCCAGCACTGAACGTTCAAACGAGCCCAGCACTGAACGTTCAAACGAACCCAGCACTGAACGTTCAAACGAACCCAGCACTAAACGTTCAAACGAACCCAGCACTGA